GTAAAACTCAAGAACGTCTAGATCAAATTGGATGAAATTTGGTAGGGAGCTAGCTTAGAACCAGGAGTCGAGACATAAGATACTTTCAACCAAGGATTTCCCGAAAATCCTACGGGAACGGGAAAAACGGGATTACGCGTACGAACTCGCAACATAAGCTAGTATTATAAATCTAAAGAGTTTGATCGTTTATTTGTTTGTGCGCTCTAATCCCAGGAACTATTGGACCGATTTAAATAATTCTTTTTGTGTTCAATAGTGCATTTATCTAGAAAAACATAACATAACATTCACGCCTTTTATCCCCGATGGAGTAGGCAGAGGTGCACACAGAAGTAACACCCACTTTTCACTACTTATGTTATGAGTCCCATGTAATAGGGGGTGAGCCTATTGCCATATACCTGTCACAATCCAGACTTCGTGCTACTACTGATTTTTTTTTAAAAAAACTCAGTAATACTTTGCCCGACACGGTAATCGAACCCGAGACTCCTTGCCCGGCAGTCACACTTGCGACCGCTCGGCCAACGAGGCAGTCGAGAAAAACTATAGAAAGAAAGAATGTAAGAAAAAACCTTTATTACACGCTATAAAACAAGTGATATGTACAGACAAATCATTATATTAGTAGATACTGATGGATACATGTTCATGTCCAAGTCTACGGTGAAATGGGACCAGTTCAGCATGAGACAGGGCCTCGCGCTGGTATTCTACTGGCCCCTTGAGTGACTCGCGGACGAACAAGTCTATAGGCTATGTATCATAAGCTACGGTCAATAGGAGCCGAATAGAACAAGTGGAATCCCGCGTAAGTAGCCAGTAATTAAAAATTATAAAAAATCCTCTTTTGTTTTCCAACCTGTGAGAACACCTCAGCTATCTATAAATAGCATTTACACTAACAGTCTGTATGTCTGTATGTAGTACAAGAAACAGTTTATGCCCGACATCCGCAGGGCCATCTGGTTTCAGCGGACGCGTGCTTGTAGAGACTGCATGTTTTTAAAGGAATTTGGGATATTTCAAGGACTGTCGGTAAGGTATTTAGTATACACTAGCGACCCGCCCCGGCTTCGCACGGATGCAATATGCATGTATTATATATATAAACCTTCCTTAAGAATCACTCTATATATTTAAAAAAACCGCATCAAAATCCGTTGCGTAGTTTTAAAGATCTAAGCATACATAGGGACAGACAGACGGCGGATAGCGACTTTGTTTTATATACTATGTAGTGATGTTAGGAAACATAAATATTTTCATACGATTTCTGTGTTTTAAATTGTTTACAGAAATTAAGAAATTAGACATTTAAATATTTGCTTACTCGTGGGAAGTGTTGGAGAAAAGCGGAGTGATACCACGGCCTCACAGGAAACCGACGTGAAGCAACGCTTGCATTGTATTTCATCGTATGAGTTAGCTTACCGGAGGCCCAGTTATCAACCCCCCTCCCCAATCTCCTCAATACCCGAATCCTCAACAATCTTCTAAAGGCCGGTAACGTACTCGTAACCTCTGGTGTTCCGTGTGCATATGGGCGATGCCGACGCTTACCATCAGGTGATCCGTCTGCTCGTTTACCGGCTTATACCATAAAAAACAAGCAGTTCTAGTTTCAAGCCACAGCCGGGCTCTCGTCTTTAAATCCTTGATGCTACGTTTACAGTCTCACGCGAGGTAGGTACATCGCAGTCTTATAATGCACGAAAGACTACTTTCTTTTAGAATAACGATAATATATCTCGGCCTCGTCTCGACTCGCGCGAGAGTATAAATGTAGCATGAGAGATAAGCCAAGGCTACAATAATGTAGATGAGAGTGCATGTTATACCTATTGTAGGTGTCGCGGAGAACCTAACGGGTTACCGGGGCTCCGGCTCGACATGCAGGAGAAGGAACGGGGTGGTTTTTAGTCAGTAAGAGTCTGACACTCCCTCTCGCCTCACCCAGGCGGGAGCAGCCAAACGATGATTTTCCCCCCTTAAAACAAATTACCTATTAACTATAGCTTGCTGACTAAAAACCACCCCGTTCCTACTCCTGGCCTTCGAGCCGGAGCCCCGGTTACCCGTTAAGTCCTCCGCGGCTCCGTATCATGCTCGTCGGTTAAGGGTACTTTTAATTTAGCCCTTCTTTAACTCGTCGAGTACCGTCATTATAGAACAATAGGTTGCGGTCACCGGTGTCCGCTTGGTGTTTGACGGTTTAATATAACACCGGGCCAACTTTGCAGTTAAACCACAACCACGGCGATATCAAAAACCGCTGTAAAAATGCTCAAACAGCCCTCCCCCCAGATCCCCGAAAACGCACTCTAGTGTTCCGGGTGCGTCGCGGAGAACCTAACGGGTTACCGGGGCTCCGGCTCGACATGCAGGAGAAGGAACGGGGTGGTTTTTAGTCAGTAAGAGTCTGACACTCCCTCTCGCCTCACCCAGGCGGGAGCAGCCAAACGATGATTTTCCCCCCTTAAAACAAATTACCTATTAACTATAGCTTGTTGTTTGTAAGTTCTGTAATAGCAAATAGGTTAGTTATTGTCTCGTTGGCCGAGTGGTCGCAAGTGCGACTGCCGGGCAAGGGGTCTCGGGTTCGATTCCCAGGTCGGGCAAAGTAATTTATTGAGTTTAAAGAAAATCTCAGTAGTAGCATGGAGTCTGGAATTATGCCCGGTATATGGCAATACGCTAATCCCCTATTACATGGGACTCATAACATAATTAGTGAAAAGTGGGTGTTAGATTGTACAGTCGCATAATGTACACCTCTGCCTACCCCTTCGGGGATAAAAGGCGTGATGTTATGTTATGTATGTTAATTATTGTAGGAAGGTCCGCTCTGGAGGCAACTCTACCAGACCACACCTCCAGAGTCAGACTTCGTGTTAAGTACTAACTAGTAAAAAATATCTATATATAAAACCGCTTTATCACATTGGCCAACACGAGAATTGAGAATGAAACAACTCTACCAATAAGGCCAGTGGGTATTTATTCAAAAGTAGGACAGCTATCCCATTTTTTTTGGCATAAGCCGGTAAACGAGTAGACTGATCACCTGATGGTAATCAATCGGTGTCGCCCATGGACACCTGGAACACCAGAGGCGTTTCAAGTGCGTTGCTGGCCTTTTGGGGTATAGGAATTTGAGGATCGTTGGGGATTCAGGGATTGGGGACTTTATCTCATAATCTCCGAAACCATGGTCACCCTAACACCAGAAGTGTGCACGTAATTTATTAGATGAATATACAAATTGGACCTGAACGATATACTTTGATGTTTTATCTGAAACAGATCGTTTGAATATAGTTCTTTATGTTATTAACTTTATTTTTCAGAATTTTATCTCAATCGCTTTCCGCGGTAGAATTTGGAACATTTTTGACTAATAAGTTTCGAATCCTGTTGGAATATCGGAATATAATATATATATAAATAGGAATATCGAAGCTATTTGTTCATGCCAGGGTGTAAATTCCTCTCGGAGGACACGGTGGAGCATACAGTGGCGGTGTGCTGCGTGGGCTGAGCACCGCCGTGTCCTCAGGGATGTGATCGGCGATGACGACCACTCGCGTCCGTCTCTGGTTCAGACCTACTAGACGGGCCTGGCGAGCATGGGTAACTCGCCGCCCGACCAGAACCAGGCCCGAGCGTACGGCGCGGCGCGTTTCGCGCCCGCCTCAAGGGGCCATCAGATCACCACAGATGGGGCTCAACAGGGCCGATGCCGATATGGAGCTGCGGAAGACTTAACGGGTAACCGGGGCTCCGGCTCGAAGTGCAGGAGTCTGGCACTCCCTCCCGCCTCACCCAGGCGGGAGAGGTCATTCAATGATTTCCCCCCTTAAAAAAATACTTGTCTTTTGTATTCGAATTGTGATATGACTTCGAAATATTGTGTGTGTTAAACGAAAAATGATGGACAAATAAAAACAAAATAATTAATTATTATTTACAAATGAAAATTATTTATTAATCGTAAACATAAATTGGTAATATAATGTAATTTTCGATATATATTTTTGACAATGTTCAAAAAAATAGAATAAAATTACAATATACCGTATTATTATTAGTGAATCATAGACTATTCTTACATAATGTCCATTAACACATTATAAACTAGATTCGAATACAGATAGGTTCTTATACAGTAAAAGAGTCCGTTTTATAATACAATCCTGTGCCTCCAAACGCCACTTTAGCGCTTGTCTACCTCTACAGTGGTATCGTTTTTCTTGTTTGTTAAGTATTATTATTTTAACTCCTATCTTCATCAGAATCGCCATTTTTACGAGAGTGGTAAGTCTTTTTATTCTTATAGTACAAGTCGTATTCGCTCTCTTGTTTCTCTCTTCTTTCATTCTCAATATTTTCCGTATCACTCTTTACCGAGTCTTTTTCGTATCTTTCGGCTTTGTACTGTCCATGTTCTTGTTTTTCATCCACAGTTTCTTTTTTGACTGCACCTTTGGAATCGCGTTCTGTTTTGGAATCGTGGTAACTCTTCCCTTCTTGTTTTTGCTCTTCTGTATTTTCGCGAACTTGGCTATAGTGTTTTCCACCTACATCTTTGTCGACTGTACTTGATTCAGATTTCTTAGCGGCTACGCTGTGGGTCTCAAATTCTTGGCTTTCAATGATTTCGTTACCGTGTGATCTTCTTATTATCCTTTTCTTAGTTTTATGTGTCTTGTTTGAAGTGTGCATTGAACGTTTTCTGCGCGTGATTGTGCGTGAAACTGTTATTTTTTTCTTATGTTCTCTTTTAGCGTTAGTATCTTTGTTTTTGTTGTTGTCTTCAGTTTCATCTTTGCTTCCATCTTTTCCTTTCTTGCAATCACATGTTTTACCTTCATTGCCTTGGTTTTTATTTTCTTTATCATTCTTTTTAATGTCCTTATCATTGTCGCTTTCATTCGAATCGCCTGAAGTCATTTTGTGTCCTTTATATTCAGTAGATCTTTTATGAATTTTTGTTTTATGAGTTCTAACTCTATTTCCTCGTGGTTTTCTCCTGTGGCTGTTAGCATCTCCGCTTTCAGATTTGCTTGTGTCAGATGAGTCACTACTTTTAGCCGTGCTATTAGAATTTATTCTGCGGTGATTTCTATGACATTTCTTCCCATTACCTCTAAGGCGTTTATTGTGGGTGGAATCATTTGAAGAATTTTGGTCTGAATCCTCTTTAGTATTATTGTTTGTATCAATGATTGTGTGACCTCTTTTGCCACATACTGTGCATCTACTGTTACATCTTTTTCTTACTCCATTATCATCATCATTAGAGGAATCTTCATCAGTTGAGTCACTTTCACTATCGCTTGATGAATCGCTGTTGCTGGATGAATCGCTATCGCTTGATGAATCGCTATCACTGGACGAATCGCTATCACTGGATGAATCGCTGTCACTAGACGAATCGCTTGCACTAGATGAATCGCTTTCGCTTGTTTCATAGCTTTCACTGGATTCATCACTTTCGCTGAAATCGTTACTTTCGCTTGAATCGTAGCTTTCGCTTGACTCGAAACTTTCGCTTCTGCTATCACTATCGCTGTTTCCGTTACTATCGCTAGAATCGTAACTTTCACTAGTATCGTAACTGTTACTAGATGCATCGCTATCACTAGGTTCGTCACTTACACTGGAATCGTTGCTTTCACTAGATTCATCACTGCTGTCAGTTTCGTCAGTACCGTTGGATTCACTTGAACTGTTAGATTCATCACTGCTATTTTCATTAGTATTGCTACTATTGCTAGATTCATCATTGTCACTATTTTTACTAGTATTGTTGGATTCATCAGTGCTGTCAGATTTACTGGGTCCGCTGGAGTTACCACTCTCATCTGTACTACTGGAGTCACTGGGTCCACTGGAGTCACCGGTCTCATCAGTACTACTGGAGTCACTGGGTCCACTGGAGTCACCGGTCTCATCAGTACTACTGGAGTCACTGGGTTCACTGGAGTTACCACTCTCATCTGTACTATTGCCGTCGCTGGGTCCACTGGAGTTACCACTCTCATCTGTACTACTGGAGTCACTGGGTCCACTGGAGCTATCACTCTCATCTGCACTACTGGAGTCACTGGGTCCACTGGAGTTGCCGGTCTCATCTGTACTACTGGAGTCACTGGATCCACTGGAGTTACCACTCTCATCAGTACTGTTGGTGTCACTGGGTCCACTGGAGTTACCACTCTCATCTGTACTACTGGAGTCACTGGGTCCACTGGAGTTACCACTCTCATCTGTACTACTGGAGTCACTGGGTCCACTGGAGTTACCACTCTCATCTGTACTACTGGAGTCACTGGGTCCACTGGAGTTACCACTCTCATCTGTACTACTGGAGTCACTGGGTCCACTGGAGTTACCACTCTCATCTGTACTACTGGAGTCACTGGGTCCACTGGAGTTACCACTCTCATCTGTACTACTGGAGTCACTGGGTCCACTGGAGTTACCACTCTCATCTGTACTACTGGAGTCACTGGGTCCACTGGAGTTACCACTCTCATCTGTACTACTGGAGTCACTGGGTCCACTGGAGTTACCACTCTCATCTGTACTACTGGAGTCACTGGGTCCACTGGAGTTACCACTCTCATCTGTACTACTGGAGTCACTGGGTCCACTGGAGTTACCACTCTCATCTGTACTACTGGAGTCACTGGGTCCACTGGAGTTACCACTCTCATCTGTACTACTGGAGTCACTGGGTCCACTGGAGTTACCACTCTCATCTGTACTACTGGAGTCACTGGGTCCACTGGAGTTACCACTCTCATCTGTACTACTGGAGTCACTGGGTCCACTGGAGTTACCACTCTCATCTGTACTACTGGAGTCACTGGGTCCACTGGAGTTACCACTCTCATCTGTACTACTGGAGTCACTGGGTCCACTGGAGTTACCACTCTCATCTGTACTACTGGAGTCACTGGGTCCACTGGAGTTACCACTCTCATCTGTACTACTGGAGTCACTGGGTCCACTGGAGTTACCACTCTCATCTGTACTACTGGAGTCACTGGGTCCACTGGAGTTACCACTCTCATCTGTACTACTGGAGTCACTGGGTCCACTGGAGTTACCACTCTCATCTGTACTACTGGAGTCACTGGGTCCACTGGAGTTACCACTCTCATCTGTACTACTGGAGTCACTGGGTCCACTGGAGTTACCACTCTCATCTGTACTACTGGAGTCACTGGGTCCACTGGAGTTACCACTCTCATCTGTACTACTGGAGTCACTGGGTCCACTGGAGTTACCACTCTCATCTGTACTACTGGAGTCACTGGGTCCACTGGAGTTACCACTCTCATCTGTACTACTGGAGTCACTGGGTCCACTGGAGTTACCACTCTCATCTGTACTACTGGAGTCACTGGGTCCACTGGAGTTACCACTCTCATCTGTACTACTGGAGTCACTGGGTCCACTGGAGTTACCACTCTCATCTGTACTACTGGAGTCACTGGGTCCACTGGAGTTACCACTCTCATCTGTACTACTGGAGTCACTGGGTCCACTGGAGTTACCACTCTCATCTGTACTACTGGAGTCACTGGGTCCACTGGAGTTACCACTCTCATCTGTACTACTGGAGTCACTGGGTCCACTGGAGTTACCACTCTCATCTGTACTACTGGAGTCACTGGGTCCACTGGAGTTACCACTCTCATCTGTACTACTGGAGTCACTGGGTCCACTGGAGTTACCACTCTCATCTGTACTACTGGAGTCACTGGGTCCACTGGAGTTACCACTCTCATCTGTACTACTGGAGTCACTGGGTCCACTGGAGTTACCACTCTCATCTGTACTACTGGAGTCACTGGGTCCACTGGAGTTACCACTCTCATCTGTACTACTGGAGTCACTGGGTCCACTGGAGTTACCACTCTCATCTGTACTACTGGAGTCACTGGGTCCACTGGAGTTACCACTCTCATCTGTACTACTGGAGTCACTGGGTCCACTGGAGTTACCACTCTCATCTGTACTACTGGAGTCACTGGGTCCACTGGAGTTACCACTCTCATCTGTACTACTGGAGTCACTGGGTCCACTGGAGTTACCACTCTCATCTGTACTACTGGAGTCACTGGGTCCACTGGAGTTACCACTCTCATCTGTACTACTGGAGTCACTGGGTCCACTGGAGTTACCACTCTCATCTGTACTACTGGAGTCACTGGGTCCACTGGAGTTACCACTCTCATCTGTACTACTGGAGTCACTGGGTCCACTGGAGTTACCACTCTCATCTGTACTACTGGAGTCACTGGGTCCACTGGAGTTACCACTCTCATCTGTACTACTGGAGTCACTGGGTCCACTGGAGTTACCACTCTCATCTGTACTACTGGAGTCACTGGGTCCACTGGAGTTACCACTCTCATCTGTACTACTGGAGTCACTGGGTCCACTGGAGTTACCACTCTCATCTGTACTACTGGAGTCACTGGGTCCACTGGAGTTACCACTCTCATCTGTACTACTGGAGTCACTGGGTCCACTGGAGTTACCACTCTCATCTGTACTACTGGAGTCACTGGGTCCACTGGAGTTACCACTCTCATCTGTACTACTGGAGTCACTGGGTCCACTGGAGTTACCACTCTCATCTGTACTACTGGAGTCACTGGGTCCACTGGAGTTACCACTCTCGTCTGTACTACTGGAGTCACTGGGTCCACTGGAGTTACCACTCTCATCTGTACTACTGGAGTCACTGGGTCCACTGGAGTTACCACTCTCATCTGTACTACTGGAGTCACTGGGTCCACTGGAGTTACCACTCTCATCAGTACTACTGGAGTCACTAGATCCACTGGAGCTTTCACTTTCACTATTATTCTTGGCTTCATTACTGCTGTTATTTTCGTCAGTGCTGGCAGGTTTGCTGGTGCTATCGTTGTCATCTGAGCTATAGGATTTACTTTTGTTATCAGATCTATCTTTGCTGTCTGATTTATCCTCACCATTAGAGTCATTTTCACTCGAATTACTATTGGACTCATTACTCTTGTCATTTTCACCTGTGTTGTTGGGTTCGTCAGAGCTATTCGATTCGCTACTTTCACTAGTATGACTACTAGAACTTGAAGAATCATCTTTAGGGTTTTTGTGATGTCTTCTCTTACATTTCTTTTCGGCACTGCGTTTGTGAATATGCTTAGGTAAACTTTCGTTATACTCGCTATCTTGACTCTCAGTATCTTTATCTTTAGAGTCACCATGGTCATCACTTTTACTATTACCCGGAGATTCATGTGATTCTTCACTAGTCTCTTCTTTTGCAGAATTATTATCATTGCCATGACTTTCTTTGCTATCATTATGTTTGTCGTTTCGATCATTAGAAGTATTTTCATCACTTGACTTGTCATCTTTGGGATCTTTGTCATTTAAATCTTTGTATTTATAACAGTTAATGCCATCACATTTTCTATGGCATTTCGGGTGATGTTTCGTCTTATGTCTTCCAGTACAATGAGACCCTGATGTATCATTTTCTTGGTTTTTACTTTCGTCAGACAAGGGTTTGGCATGAGCATGACACTTGTGTCTCCTAGCATGATGTCTCCGTTTTGGAATAACTTTAACATGTCTTACTCTGTGTTTATGTGGAGGATGACGTTTACATTTATGAGTTATTGTTTGTTGAGAGTCAACACTTTTACCTTCATCGGAGACATCCTTAGTTTCATTACTATCATTTTTGTGTTCATGGGAGTCATCACCCTTTTCGTCACTGTCGCTCTTGGGTCCATGGGAGTCATTATCCCTTTCATCATTGTCGCTCTTCGGTCCATGTGAGTAATCGTCCTTTTCGTCACTGTCGCTTTTGGGTTCATGGGAGTCATCACCCTTTTCATCACTGTCGCTTTTGGGTTCATGGGAGTCATCACACTTTTCGTCACTGTCGCTTTTGGGTCCATGGGAGTCATCACCCTTTTCGTCACTGTCGCTCTTGGGTCCATGGGAGTCATCGTCTTTTTCGTGACTGTCATTCTTGTGGTCACGTGGATGATGATTGTTCTTTACGTGGTGCTTGCAATCTCTGTGGTGCTTCTTCTTGTTCTTATTTGTGTCATCTTTGTCTTCGTGGCTATCGCTCTTAGGTCCATGTGAGTCGTCATCCTTTTCATCACTATGGCTTTTGGGTCCATGGGAGTCATTACCCTTTTCGTCACTGCCGCTCTTGGGTCCATGGGAGTTATTATCCTTTTCGTCACTGCCGCTCTTGGGCCCATGGGAGTCATCATCCTTTTCATCACTATCGCTTTTGGGTCCATGGGAGTCATCACCCTTTTCGTCACTGTCGCTTTTGGATCCATGGGAGTTATCATCCTTTTCGTCACTGCCGCTCTTGGGTCCATGGGAGTCATCATTCTTTTCATCACTATCGCTTTTGGATCCATGGGAGTCATCACCCTTTTCATCACTGTCGCTTTTGGGTCCATGGGAGTCATCACCCTTTTCGTCACTGCCGCTCTTGGGTCCATGGGAGTTATTATCCTTTTCGTCACTGCCGCTCTTGGGCCCATGGGAGTCGTCATCCTTTTCGTCACTGCCGCTCTTAGGTCCATGTGAGTCGTCATCCTTTTCGTCACTGCCGCTCTTGGGTCCATGTGAGTCGTCATGCTTTTCGTCACTATCACTCTTGGGTCCACGGGAATCATTATCCCTTTCATGACTGTCGCTCTTGGGCCCATGGGAGTCATCACCCTTTTCGTCACTGCCGCTCTTGGATCCATGGGAATCATTATCCCTTTCATGACTGTCGCTCTTGGGTCCATGGGAGTCATCACCCTTTTCGTCACTGTCGCTCTTGGGTCCGTGGGAGTCATCGTCTTTTTCGTGTCTGTCATTCTTGTGGTCACGTGGATGATGATTGTCCTTTACGTGGTGTTTGCAACCTTTGTGGTGCTTCTTCTTGTTCTTATTTGTGTCATCTTTGTCCTCGTGGCTATCGCTCTTAGGTCCATGAGAGCTATTATCCTTTTCGTCACTGCCGCTCTTGGCTCCATGTGAGTCATCATCCTTTTCATGACTGTTGCTCTTGGGTCCATGAGAGTCTTCATGCTTTTCGTCACTGTCACTGTTCGACCCATGGGAGTCGTCATCCTTTTCGTCACTGCCGCTCTTGGATCCATGGGAGTCATTATCCCTGGAATGACTGTCACTCTTGGGCCCATGAGAGTTATCATCCTTTTCGTCACTGCCGCTCTTGGGTCCATGTGAGTCGTCATCTTTTTCGTCACTATCACTCTTGGGTCCATGGGAGTCATTATCCCTTTCATGACTGTCGCTCTTGGGTCCGTGGAAGTCATCATCCTTTTCGTCACTGCCGCTCTTGGGCCCGTGGGAGTCATCACCCTTTTCGTCACTGCCGCTTTTGGGTCCATGGGAGTCATTGTTTCTTTCATAACTGTCGCTCTTGGGTCCGTGGGAGTCATCATGTTCTTCATGACTGTCATTCTTGTGGTCACGTGGATTATGATTGTCCTTTACGTGGTGTTTGCATCGTTTGTGGTGCTTCTTCTTGTTCTTAATTGTGTCACCATTATCCTCATGGCTGTCGTCTTTGGGTCCATGAGAGTCATCATCCTTTTCATGACTGTCGCTTTTGGGTCCATTATCTTTTTTGTGATGTTTGTGCCCTTTGTGGTGCTTCTTCTTATTTTTGTCATCTTTGTGCTCTTGGCTGTCGCTATTAGGTTCATAGGAGTCCTCCTTTTCATGACTGTTAATCTTGTGGTCACGTGGACGATGATTGTCCTTTACGTGGTGTTTGCATCCTTTGTGGTGCTTCTTTTTGTTCTTATTTGTGTCATTATTGTCCTCATGGTTGTTGTCTTCTGGTCCATGGGCGTCATCATCCTTTTCACGACTGTCGCTTTTGGGTCCATTATCTTTTTTGTGGTGTTTGTGCCCTTTGTGGTGCTTCTTCTTATGTGTATCATCTTTGTCTTCGTAGCTGTCGTCCTTGGGTCCATGGGATTCATCATCCTTTTCATCGCTGCCGGTCTTGGGCCCATGGGAACCAGTACCTCTTTCGTGACTGTCGCTCTTGGATCCATGGGAGTCATCATCATTTTCATCGCTGCCGCTCTTGGGTCCGTTAGAATCATCATCAGTTTCATCACTGCCACTCTGGGGTCCATGGGAGTCATCACCCTTTTCATCACTGCCGCTCTTCGGTCCATGAAAATTATTATCCCTTTCATCACTTTCGCTCTTGGGTTCATTATCTCTGTTGTGGTGTTTGCACCGTTTGTGGTGCTTCTTTTTGTTCTTGTTTTTGTCATCTTTGTCCTCGTGGCTTTCGCTCTTAGGTTCATGGGAGTTATCTCTCTTTTCATCACTGTCACTCTTGGGTCCATGGGAGTCATCGTCCTTTTCGTTACTGCCGCTCTTGGATCCATGGGAGTCATTATCTCTTACATGACTGTCGCTCTTGGGTCCGAGAGAGTCATCACCCTTTTCGTCACTGCCGCTCTTGGATCCGTGGAAGTCATCACTCTTTTCGTCACTGCCGCTCTTGGATCCGTGGGAGTCATCACCTTTTTCGTCACTGCCGCTCTTGGGTCCATGGGAATCATCATCAGTTTCATCGCTGCCGCTCTTTGGTTCATGGGAGTCACCATCCTTTTCCTCACTGTTACTCTTGGGTCCATGGGAATGATTATCTCTTTCATTACTGTCGCTCTTGGGTCCATGGGAGTCATCATCAGTTTCATCGCTGCCGCTCTTGGGTCCATGGGAGTCATCACCCTTTTCATCACTGCCGCTCTTGGGTCCATGAGAATTATTATCCCTTTCATCACTTTCGCTCTTGGGGTCATTATCTCTGTTGTGGTGTTTGCACCGTTTGTGATGCTTCTTTTTGTTCTTGTTTTTGTCATCTTTGTCCTCGTGGCTTTCGCTCTTAGGTCCATGGGAGTCATCATCCTTTTCGTCACTGCCGCTTTTAGATCCATGGGAGCTATCATCCTTTTCATGGCTATCACTCTTGGGTCCATGTGAGTCGTCATCCTTTTCTTCACTGCCGCTTTTGGGTCCGTGGGAATCGTCCCTTTCATGACTGTCGCCCTTGGGTCCATGGGAGTCATTATTCTTTTCGTCACTGCCGCTCTTGGGTTCATGGGAGTCATCATCCTTTTCGTCACTGCCGTTCTTGGATCCATGGGAATCATTATCCCCTTCATGGCTATCACTCTTGGGTCCGTGGGAGTCATTATCCTTTTCGTCACTGCCGCTCTTGGGTCCCTGGGAGTCATCATCTTTTTCATGGCTGTCATTATTGTGGTCACGTGGATGTTCATTATCTTTTACGTGGTGTTTCTTTTTATTCTTGTCATTACTATCATTCTTAGGTCCACGAGAGTCATCAGACTTATCACTGCTGTTGTTTTCATCTGAACTATTGGAGTCGTCTGAACTGTTTGAATCATCTGTGCTGCTAGAGTCACCGTTGTTAATGGACTCATCACTGCTTTCATTTTTGTTATGGTCATGGGAGTCATTATCTTCTCCATGACTGTCGCTCCTTGGTTCATTATCTCTGTTGTGGTGTTTGCACCGTTTGTGGTGCTTCTTTTTGTTCTTGTTTTTGTCATCTTTGTCCTCGTGGCTTTCGCTCTTGGGTCCATGGGAGTCATCATCATTTTCGTCACTGTCACTCTTGGATCCATGGGAGTCATCATCCTTTTCATCACTGTCGCTCTTGGATCCATGGGAGTCATCATCCTTTTCATCACTGCCGCTTTTGGATCCATGAGAAGTATTATCCTTTTCGTCACTGCCGCTCTTGGATCCATGAGAATTATTATCCTTTTCATCACTGCCGCTCTTGGGTCCGTGGGAGTCATTATCCTTTTCGTCACTGCCGCTCTTGGGTCCATGAGAATTATTATCCTTTTCGTCACTGTCGCTCTTGGATCCATGAGAATTATTATCCTTTTCATCACTGCCGCTCTTGGGTCCGTGGGAGTCATCATCCTTTTCGTCGCTGTCACTCTTGGATCCATGGGAGTCATCATCCTTTTCATCACTGCCGCTCTTGGAATCATGAGAAGTATTATCCTTTTCGTCACTGTCGCTCTTAGATCCGTGAGAATTATTATTCTTTTCGTCACTGCCGCTCTTGGATCCATGGGAGTCATTAACCTTTTCGTCACTGCCGCTCTTGGGTCCATGAGATTTATTATCCTTTTCGTCACTGCCGCTCTTGGATCCATGGGTGTCATTATCCTTTTCGTCACTGCCGCTCTTGGATCCATGGGAGTCATTATCCTTTTCGTCACTGCCGCTCTTGGGTCCATGAGAATTATTATCCTTTTCGTCACTGCCGCTCTTGGGTCCATGGGAGTCATTATCCTTTTCGTCACTGCCGCTCTTGGATCCATGAGAATTATTATCCTTTTCATCACTGCCGCTCTGGGGTCCGTGGGAGTCATCATCCTTTTCGTCACTGCCGCTCTTGGGTCCGTGGGAGTTATCATCTTTTATGTGGTGTTTGCACCTCTTATGTGTGTTTTTCCTTTTATTCTTGTCATTACTGCCGTTATTGTTATGTTCGTGGGAGTCATCAGGCTCATCGCTGCTACCACTTTCATCTGAACTGTTAGAATCATCGTTGCTAGTGGTCTCATTACTATTTCCAGTCTTATCCCTCTCATTTGAGTCCTTTTCGCGTTCAGGGGATTTATTATTCTTCTCAGTGCTATCACTGTTATGGTCATGGGAGTCATCATTCTTTTCATCACTCTTGTCATCATTTGGATGTTCATTATCTGTTTTATGATGTTTGTGCCTCTTATAGTGTTTCTTTTTATTCTTTTCATTGCTCTCGCTCTTGCTATGTTCATGGGAGTTATCAGGCTCACCACCGCTACCACTTTCATTTGAGCTGTAGGACCCGTCACTGCTACTATTGTCATACGAACTATTGGAATCATCTTTGCTGGTTGAGTCTCCTTTGTTAGTATCGCTATTGCTATTGTCTTGTTCGTTATCATCATTCTGCGACTTGTGGTGACGACATTCACGTTTGTGCTTCTTGTCAGTATTTCCATATGAGTTACTTATCTTAGTGTGATCCTCCTTTTCGCTGTTTTCTTGGTCAATGTTCGTGTTAGAAGATGACTCTCCATGTTCATAATCTTTGTTCTTCTCATAGTGATTATTTCCAGAAGAATCAATGTTCGTCTTGTCTTTCCACTCTCTGTTATTTTGCTCTATATCTGTTTTAGAAGAAGATGTTCTATGTTTGTGGCCTTTCTTTGTCTCATAATGATTGTTAGTAGAGTTGTCTATTTTGGTTTCTCCTTGCTTTCCACTGTTCTTTTGTTGAATATTTGTGTTGTAATTAGAATCTGCATGCTCGCAATCTTTGTTCTTTTCGTAATGGCTGTTGTACGAATTGTCGATTTTTATTTTGTCTTTCTTTTCGTTGTTCTTTTCGTGTATGTTGGTATTGGAAGATTCATCCGCGTGTTCATAATTTTTACACTTCTCATGATGGGTTTTCGAAGACTCTTGTACTTTACTTTCATTTTCCTTTTCAGTGTTCTTTTGCTCAATATTGGTATTAGAACATGAGTCCGCATTTACTCTATCTTTGTCCTTTTCATAATGGCTGTTATAAGAGTCGTTTATTTTAGTATCATCCTTCTTCTCACTGTTCTTCTGTTCAATGTTAGTATTGCAAGAGGAATCGGCATGTTCATAGTCCTTCTTTTTTTCATAAGTGTTATTTGCAGAAGAATCTACCTTAGTCTGATTATTCGTTTCAGTATTCTTCTGTTCAATATTAGTGTCGTACGAATAATCTGCATGTTCATAATCTTTCTTCTGCTCATAATGGCTGTTAGCAGAAGAATTGGCTTTAGTTTGTTGATTATAAGCACCACTAGTCTTCTCTACTTGAACAGCACTGGAAGAATGCTTCTTTATATGATCTTTACCACCACTTTCAGTATCACTTCTAGTAGCATTAGCCTTTATATGTTCATTATATCCGCTATTATGATTCTCATAACGAGTTTTAGAGTCTGAATCAGCTTTGACATGATCTGCAGTTTTCTCATATCGGTTATGAGAAGTAGATTCTATTCTGCTATGAGACTTGCTCCCGCTACTGGTTTTCTCGATGTGGGTCGTTTCTGTTTTTGTCGTCTTATGGCTCCCGTGATCACAGGGTTTCTGGTCACCATCACCACCGGCTGTTGGGTTTAAAATGTACATTTTATTTACTATCTACTTTGTGAGTTGTCGGAACCCGACTATTCAGCAAGAGTAGAAAGAACGAAAGAAAAATTATTTATTTGCACCGTAAGAAATTAAAAAAAAAAACAAAGAAGAACAGTAATACAATAAAAAATGGTAAAAGTGTGCACGGCGCAAAAAGGCAAAGTGTTCAGCTGAAATGCCGTGACCCGAGAGCGGTAACTCGGAGTCGCGGCACTGATTTTCAGCACTAGCCCGTTACTGTAATAATAGTACAAATTACAAAGTTTCGTCGTGTGAGTGAGGTTACCGGAGGCCCAATTGCCCTCCCCTTCCCCAATCTCCACAATCCTTGAATCCCCAACAATCCTCAAGCTCCGAATCCCCAAAAAGCCGGTAACCCACTTGTAACGCCTCTGGTGTCCATGGGCGACGCCGATTGCTTACCAACAGGTGATCCACCTACTCGTTTACAAGCTTATGACATAAAAAAGTACAAAATAATAAACTTAATTATTTATTTTTAAATTTTTACTTAAATATTCTTGGGTTAAGCAAATAATTGCTGTGTTTTATATAGCACGGAGTCTGGGACTGTGTCCCGTGTTAGATAAAAGGCTCTCTCTATTATCGTGTAAAATCAGAATGAAATAGATATATAATAGAAAGTGCGCATCGAAATTAAACTGTCAAACACCGCGAGGTCACCGGTGACCGTAACCTATTGTTCTATAATAGGCGTGTCGACAGGGTAAAAAAATCAAAAAAGTAATTAGTCCGTCATTAAGATCGCACGAAAACTATCAGACACGTATTTTTTGTTTTATCAAATTAACAGAAGAATACGTAGTTATTCCGCATTAAAGTTAGGGAGTGGGGGGTGTTGACGTCACACTTACGGAGAAATCGTACCTAATTGTGACGTCACGCGTCATTTTAACTCAAAATATCTACATGTTTTTTTGGATACGAGAAAAAAGAAAAAATATGTATCGAAGATTTTTAAAATATCTAAAAGACGGACAAATGATTAAAAAATAGTCGCCATACCTATTGTGTCTATAATGACGGTACTCGACGAGTTAAACTGTCATACACCGCGAGGACACCGGTGACCGCAACCTATTGTTCTATAATTGTGTCTATAATGACGGTACTCAAAGGATGTGGTATTATGTTTGAATATGTTAATCTTCACATCAAAAGCGGTGATGATCAAAGGCCTCTTCTCACAAGGAGAAGGTTTGAGGATTAACTACGCTTGCTCAATGTGGGTTGACGGTCACTCATTACTTTATTATTATTTTGCTGTAACTTGAGCTGCGTGACGTCGCCGCGACCGCGCACGCTACTCATGAGGAAGAAAGCCTCTGTGGTTCGAAACTAGTAGAGCTTTTCTCAGTATATTCACGTGAGTAACCCGCGATTTTAGTTAATTTAGTATGTCTCACGATAATTATTATAAAAACATAGATTTGACACTTGTATTTAAAAATTATAAGCCCAGGTTTCCTCACGATGTTTTCCTTCACCGTTTGTCAGTGGTGTCTAAATAATCTTAGAAAGTACATATAACTCGGACAACGTCATACTGGTACTAGTAATGGGCGTCATAAACCTCCGGCCTCCGGAGTACCACGGTATCAGTATATCATCACTACATAGTATAAAACAAAGTCGCTATCTGCCGTCTGTCTGTCCCTATGTATGCTTTGATCTTTAAAACTACGCAACGGATTTTGATGCGGTTTTTTTAAATAGAGTGATTCTTAAGGAAGGTTTATATGTATAATACATGAATATTGCACCCGTGCGAAGCCAGGGCGAGTCGCTAGTTTTAATATAAATAACAAAATGTCGTAATAAATAATATAAAAACTTACATTGCGGTAACGCCTGAACAGTTACCAGGGCCTGAAATATAATTAGAAAATAATTAGCAATGGCAATAGACTCACCCCCTATTACATGGGACTTATAACATAAATAGTGAAAAGTGGGTGTTACATTGTACAGTGGCATTAAGTGCCGTAACGTGTACCTCTGCCATCGGGGATAAAAGGCGTAATGTTATGTCAATTTTAAAAATAATTATGAATAAAGTAATATTAATTAAGTTAGCTACCTATTATACTTTGTTGGTCGAGTATGTGCAGATGCGACTACTAAGAAAGTGGTCTTTTTTTAAGGGGGGAAAATCATCGAATGACTTCTCCCGCCTCGGTGAGGCGGGAGGGTTCCTACTCCTGCCCTTCGAGCTGGAGCCCCGACAACCCGTTAAATCCTCCGCGGCTCCGAAGCAAGTGATCTAGGGTTCGATTTCAAATTCGAGCAAAGCAGTGATTTACGATTTTTAGAAAATGTCTCAGTAGCAGTGCAATGTCCCAAAACGGTAAAATACTGTTCACAAATTGGTCCCTATCATAGGGAGTGAGCCCACAACTGGATAAATCGAAAAATCGAATATATCTGTAACAATGTTCCCTGACCTGCCAAAATTGCAACTACACTACCTACAAATTAATTTATTTAATGATGAATAGGTAATTATATTTTTAAGGTCATTTTAAGGTGTAAATATTGTGTAGGTTTTATATTTAGTTTTATAAATATTTATTAGTGGTCTATGGTGTTTGTAATAAGGTTCACTCGACGAGCAGGGGAGTGGAAAAATGAAATGCGTGTTGTCCACATGCAAGTGTATTAGCGACTAAAAATACACTACTAACAAATTAACTGTAAAATCTTCTCTATTTAAGTTTAAGATTAAGTTAAGATTTGTATAAAACTGAATTTTATGAGAAATAAACAGCTTTTATTATTATATTATTATTATTATATTACATAAAAATACTGTTTTAACTATCGACTTGACGTACCTATGTATAGTTAGATATATAGAACTGGTTTGTGAGCAGCCACGACAATTCTTACATCAACAGTCTAAAACAATAAAATACCGACTTACCACTATTACAAGTAGCACTTTATACACCTTCATGGTGACTTGATGCCCTAACATCAGCACCGTAGCCTTTTATAGCAAATCATTGCTTAGAAGTGCAACAATAATTAATATATCTATTATTAATAAAAATAAAAACACATTTGCACATATGTTTTTGATACAATAGCTAGCCCTTTTGTTTGTTTGTGTTGTATATAATTATTAATTAAAGAACAATGTTTTCTGACGTCAATCGGTTAGGTGATGTCGTCAGAGCTTTCTTTGGTAGCTCTGGGTAGGCACAAAGATACTTACTTAGAACCTGAAGAGCAGGCGGAGCGCGTGAGGGAACAAACCTCCTCACGCTCCAGCCATGCGGGTGACACTCCGGGCGTCGGAGATAGGTGCGGGTCTGCTGACGGTGAGCAAGGATAACTCTCTGCCCGACTAGAGGCCTTATTAGCCAGAGATTGATTTTCGATTAAACTTTAAAGTATTCGAAACGAGTACGCGTTCGGCGCTCTGATTGGCCGGCGCCAATGAAGCAATCTATCAGAGCGCTGAACGAGGTCTCGTCTCGATTCCTTTAAACGTAAGACAAACTTGTACTAAGGCCTCAGAACCAGACTCCTTCGTACGGCGGTGAGTCGCGTTCCCCGCACGCCTCAAAGAGCCATCAGACCACCACGGATAGGGCCCAGTAGGGCTGATGCCCGATACGGAGCTGCGGAAGACTTAACAGGTTGCCGGGGCTCCAGCTCGAAGAGCAGTAGTAGGAACGGGGTGTTTTTAGTCAGTAAGAGTCTGACACTCCCTCTCGCCTCACCCGAGCGGGAGAAGTTATCAGATGATTTTCACTCCTCAAAATAAAAGGTCCTGAAGTGCCGTTTTATAAACGTTGCCCAAGACTAGGAGTTTCTCCTGTGTCGTGGGTGCGTTTACAAACATACAAGTTCACATACTCATGACACCCAGACCCGGAATAACAATTTGTGGGTGAGACGATGACCTTCACATCCCACGTCTAGTAAGCAAGGCTCGGGCGCGGCGTTGGCGCGCCGGCCGCGAGATGGAAGCTTTTTGTCACCACAAACAAGTATAGTCAACAATACCTACCTACGATGCGACGTTGTTTCGCTGGCTCCTGGTGGCGCCGCGCTGTCAGTTCGCGGGTGGCGCGCCATAAGCACGCAGGCGCCTCGACTACACCTCGGGTGGACTGCGGACTGACCACCCGCCGTCGGCTTTTTGTGTTGACTTTATGAAATATATCATACGACATACGATTTATAGTTCATATTTAATTAACAACTTAATTGCTGGGTAGAGGCGTGCTTAATAGATATACGATGACTTTAAGAGTTACTCTGTACCGGCATCGTACCTGCTATACGTTATATAGAAGCCGTATAGAAGCCCAACCATCGAGCCAGCCGTGCAGTCATATTTGCTATTTCTCTTCATGCATGGTAGACCGAGGTGATCCGACAGAGAACTAAAGTTGCCGACGTAGCCCAAAGGATTAGCACGCTGACATGGCAGTGGGCCGGTCACATTTGTCGAAGAACCGATACTGTTCGTGTTCCAGAGTGGAGACCGCGTCTAGGCAAACGTAGTGTAGGGGGCCCTCCAGCTAGGTGGAGGGACGATATACGTAAAGTGGCTGGTAGTGGCTGGATGCGTAGAGCTGAAGACCGAGCTCAGTGGCGTGCCATTGGAGAGGCTTATGTCCAGCAGTGGACAAAAACAGGCTGTTGATGATGATGTTAGTAGGCCAACATCATCGGTCCATAATTGGTCACTCCGCTAACCAAAGGCCTCTTCTCACACAGAGAAGGTGTGAGCATTAATCACCACGCTTGCTCGATGCGGATAGGTATCATCATTTTCATCATCAAATACCTAAATTCTCTAGTGTTGCAGGCTTCCATGGGCGCATTGATCGCTTACCATCAGGTTTGCTCAAGACCAATCCGTCTCTCAAACTTGGCTACAGATACCTAATCAGAAATTCTAAGTCCAGGATTCCTCACGATGTTTTCTTTTATCATAAGTCAGTGGGAGGTAGCTAATTGCAGTTAAAATGTTTTATTAATTTGCGATTTGCATCCCATTTTCGTATTACATCATCTGTATAGAGAAGGCTCACAGAGTCCACCATTGGACTACCACAGGCAGTTAATGATAACTTCTGACATGTTAACATGACTGCCTCGTTGACCGACTACCGGGCAAGGAGTCTCGGGTTGGATTGCCGGGCCAGGCAAAGTACTACAGGGATTTTTAAATACCAGTGGTAGCACGTAGTCTGGAATTGTGCCCGGTATATGGCAATAGGCTCACCCCCTATTACATGGGACTCATAAAATAAATAGTGAAAAGTGGGTGTTACATTGTACAGTGGCATTAAGTGCCGTAATGTGCTTTAGGGAACAGAGTGGAAAGTTCCCTAAGATCGGAAAAGGAGGATCCTCCGACCAGGCGAGGTGATCGTGTCTGGTGCGCTTTCTGCCCGACAGTTGTTCGTTGGGATTTTCTATCCGTGTTAATTTGCATGTAAACTTTGCATGTGCTATGTAGGATTTTTGTGACGTCATCCATTGACATGGACCATGTGTCGCCACAGTGCACTTCTGCTTACCTCTTCGGGAATTAAAGGCGTGATGTTATGAATGACTGGCATGTCAAAAGTGAAGGTTCAATGTCTCACAATGAATATTAATAACTAAACATAAACATATGTAGTAATATTATAGTCGATCTCAATAATAATCAATATTGACACAGCTGTTTATAAACGATACTGTCAAAGTTATTTATTAATTTAAACGCTGTATAATTTTTCTTTATTAATAAATAATAATAACGTAATAAATCATTAGGTTATAATAACCTATTTAATGCGCGACACAGAGCATAGCGACCTAAACTTTCGGTTGGCGATGGTGCGTACATTCTTTTTTTATAGCATAAGCCGGTAAACGAGCAGACGGATCACCTGATGGTAAGCAATCGGCGCCGCCCATGGATACTCGAAATACCAAGGCGTTACAAGTGCGTTACCTACCGGCCTTTTGGGAATTAGGATTTTGAGGATTGTGGAGGATTCGGGGATTCGGGAGACTGGGACTAGAGAGGGGGGTAATTGGGCCACCGGTAACCTCACTCACACGACGAAACACGACGCAAGCGTTGTTTCACGTCGGTTTTCTGTGAGGCCGTGGTACCTACATGGCGTCGACATGGCTGTAGTGGAAAGTACTTGTGTCGCATAAGCCGGAAGCAGACATCGGAGTGTTTTTTTTATGGATTAGGAGGCAAACGAGCAGACGGATCACCTGATGGTAAGCGATCAGCGCCGCCCATGGACACACGCAACACCAGAGGAGTCACAGATCCATTGCCACCCTTTTGAAAAGGAATACACTCTTATCTTGAATGTTTAAAGGTCGTATCGATTCGGAAATACCGCCGACGACAGATCATTCCACAGTTTAGCTGTGCGAGGCAGAAAGCTACGAGAGAAGCGCACAGTTGTGGCCTGCCGACCATCTATATGATTGGGACATATGCTGTCGTCACTGCAATGGTGATTTGGAGGATACAGCGCGGCATACGCTTGAAAAGTGTACCGCATGGGCAAAGCCACACCGTGAGCTCATTGCAGTAGGTACTCGGCGGGAGTAACTTTCCACCGTCAACCGTTCGTTGTACAGGCTGTGGTCGACAGAGCGCATAGGACGGAGTACGGAGGATGGGCTTGTAAACAAGTTTCCAAAGTCAAAGTCAAAGCATTTATTTCAATTAAATCATAATTTCAACAAATACAAAATAAATAATAGTCTGTCAGTGAAGCTAGGTGAATAGATTCGAATGGAGAAGAACGAGCAAGAAAATCCATTCGTTACTCTTTTTAACCCTAGAAAGATAACCATATTTTGACTGTTACAAAAGATAACCATGCGCTTCGGAGGCGCACAAAATATTAATATATTTTTTATAATTAAATACCTATTTATTGTATTTACTTACTTATTTTTTTTGAAATATGTTTCATGAATTAATAAAAAAGAAACGTTTTAAGTGGAATATTTTAAATATTTTAAAAATAAAACTTAAATCAAAAAATCTCTAGAAAAAATTACCAAAATTAGCAGTCTTCTGTTTAGAGGAACACAGTATCAAAAAAAAAAAATTTTTTTCTTCTTATAAACGAATTAAGTCATTTCTTACTAACTAATCAACTAAAAAAATTAGTCAAAACTACAATTGTTAGGCTCAAATTTGGTTTGATAGGCATTCAAAACGAACATCATTTTTGTGTTCGCAGCAAACTGTTTTCTTGCTTTTTTATATTAGACATTCTTTTTTTTATTAGTGCAAAAGGTGCAATACCGCCTTTTCTTTGCTGGAGGTTCTTCTTCGTTATCTGTATCGTTATGTACAACCGGTTTCGGAAGAATATTAGCGATATTATATCTCACATGCTTTGGCAAAGTAGGAGCTTCCAGTCTTTCCTACATCCACGATTCAGATAACTGGGCTCTTAAGTTTTTCATATAACCCCTTCTATTTAGAGGCTTTTCATTTTTAGCAAGAATGTTGTGACAATATATAACATAAGAATTGACGAATACTATGTTCAGAATGCCATAAAACATACACATTGGCCATCTATTGGTTTTCCTCGAACACGACATTGAAGAACACATTTGGTCGAAATTCCAGTGAGCTCTGAAGATACAGATGGACTTATATCGTCTTCATTTTGTGTATCATTCAATTGTTGTGGCACCTCATCATCTATAAACTCGTCTTCGTAATCACTCTGTATGTCATCTTCACTCAAATTATCTTCTGTCTCACTGTCATTTCCTTGCTCTCGTTCATGCTCGTTCTCTTCCTCTTCAGCGATAAACCTATGTATTGCATCATCAGAAAGTGTCCTCCGGCGCGTCATAATGAAAGTGAAAAGATTTTCTACTAAAAACTAAGAAATAAACAGTTAAAATAAACATTTTATGTAAGTATAAACAAGTTCATACTTTTACTAAAAGTCACACAAAAGATAACCATGCGCCTTTGGAGCGCAACACTTAGTCATAACTGCAAAACTATGGTACTTACCGCGTAAAAACGGCCGTCCCGCGACTCAGTGCACCGACCACTGAGCTAACTTAAAAGGACAGGTAGATACGCGCGCTCATTAGAAAAAGACAGCGATGTTAAACCGACGAGGGCGCCTCTGAAGCGTAGGTTATCTTTCTAGGGTTAAAAAAGTATGTTCTATAATGTCTCTGATACATATTCATGTGAGAACAATGCAAAGACATGCTTGACGCATTATACTAATTACAAAGCTTATTAAAATAAAATAAAACATCTTATAGTGTGTAGTATCATGATGCTCACATATTATTATGCATACTGACAATCCATAAAAACAGTGCTTCTATACAAGAAAAAGGAAACTCTTTGTTTCAATAAAGAAAGAAATGCTCGATGCCATAAGGAAACTAGATTGTCTACATTAAGATGAAAGTATTAAATTACCTACTATTGTAATCTAACTACTGACTACATTTGAGTATTGTCCAGTGGAGCCGAACCAAGATGTTGCCAAGTATTCTTATCTTCAAGATAATCTGTCAGTGTGTAGTAACCTTGATTACATAATTCGCGCTTAATATATGTTTTAAATTAGTTATATTGGCAAAGGAATCGGCTGAAAGAGAGAGGGAGGCGTCTAGTTCTCTTCCCTCTCGCCGTAGTCGCGCCAGTCGTCAGTTCCGTGAGGCAGCAGCCGATCTGCGACCTCCATAGGCTCTCCTATATACTGCGGATGACTGACTGAGGGAGCCAGGCGTCCGCTGTATAGTCCACTCGAGGAAGGAAACCAGTTTCCCAAGGTGGTCGCTAACGTGGTGGGATCTGCCCCAAACATAGCGGTAGGTCGAGGCCTGCCGGGTGTGGTGATTCTGTAAGGGCAAACCAGAACACGGTCACAGGCAATGGAGGAACATCACGTTGGTTTTAGCTGACGTGGGAAGTCCGTGAGGATTTCCATCGCGATAGAAAAACTAACCTATCTAATACGCATCGGGGTTGACAGAGTTCTTTAGAAAGATATGCGTAGGTATTTAAATAGACCTGACCGTGGGTCACTGCAGGGGTGCCCACTGAAAATCAGTGCTGGGTGACTCGTATGCCTAGCTTAGTGCCCACTGAGTTAGTGAACCATTTACCATAGGCATGTTGTCAGCGTCTCTGAACTCATTCTTTTGTTTTAATTTTTAACCTAATGTTTATCGCTTCCACAGTCACTTTTATTGTCATTTTTATATTTTATTAATGCTGCATCGTGCCTGGTGCTGAATAAATGTTTTTTATTCTTTTCAAATAAAAAATTACACTATTATATAAAGCGGAAGAGTTAGTTTTTTGTTTGTTTGAACGCACTAATCTCCGTAACTACAAGTCTGATTTGAATAATTCTTTTTGTGTTGGATAGTGCATTTATCGAGGATGGCTATAGGCTATAAAACATCACGCTACGACCAATAGGAGCTGAGCAAACCGTGTGAAACCGCGCGGAAGTAGTTACTAATAAAAATCCGACTACAAACTCCTTCTTTTTCGAAATCGGGTGATAATAAAGACACTTAAACCTGCTCAATACATCAAAAGCGATTTTCAGCCAATCGCGAGATAATTGCAAGCAAACATTACGGCATTACCTTTTAGGTAGACGTGTACATTACTGCACTTAATGCCACTGTACAATGTAACACCCACTTTTCACTATTTATGTTATGAGTCCCATGTAATAGGGAATGAGGCTATTGCCATATACCAGGCACAATTCGAGACTTCGTGCTACTACTGGAATTAAAAAAACTAATACTTTGCCCGACCCGGGAATCGAACCCGAGACCACTCGGCCAACGAGGCAGTCATACATACATATAAGTTAAACTGCGAGGGGAAAGAAAGAAAGAGAAGAAATAGGTTTGCGAGGGTATGAAGGTAAAAAAAACAACAAAATTCAGTACATAGCCCATTCTATAAAAGAATTAAGCTTGAATATATTTAAATTATTACTAAATTCGCGATAAACATAAAAGGGCAGTGTTTATTAAAAGATATTCTTATAAAATTACAAACTAAAGTTAATTACAATAACAGACGAGGAATTATCAAATATTTTTAAAATTTTATTATTTATAAACGGTCTGGGATGCTGTCTCCTTTGGCGAAGCAGTCATGCTAGCTAAGGAGGAGGCGCGACTCAGCCGTCGCGAAGGACACTCCGGGCTACGGGCATTGCGGGACGATCTACGGCCACCGGGCCCTGCGGACGGCGAGCATGGGTCGTCGTAGCGCGCGACACAAAGAGCCATCAGACCACCACCAATAGCGCTGATACCGATATGGAGCCGCAGAGGACCTAACGGGTTGTCGGGGCTCCGGCTAGAAGTGCAGGAGTAGGAACGGGGTGGATTTTAGTCAGTAAGAGTCTGACACGAGGCGAGAGGGATCTCGCCTCAAAGGGGCGGGAGAACTCATAGGATGATTTTGTCCCTGCAAAAAAACCTGTACCGATATTGCTCGACCTGTTATGATTATAAACTCCCGTTAAGGCTTGAAATCAATAAAGCACTCTCGAAGACTCAACACGACCGTAATAACAAATTATCACTACGTCGTATTCTTCGAATCTGATGATTTTTCGATAATTCCACGTCTGTATAATTAATATAATTATCAAACATACAAAGTTGGCCGGTTGATACTCTTACAATCTAAATTAAGAGGTATACTTGGCGTTCATTTTCGATAGATGGCGCTTAACTTAAATATTAGATTGCATATTTATATAGCAGTATTTAAATTACATGTCATATATGTCGGAATACTGAAAAGCTACTCAATTTTAAGTCGTGCTTAAGTATAGTTCTATCTCTACAAATTCTTTGTAAAACCACAGAGATGGCACGATATTTGAGCACGACTTAAAATTGAGTAACGTTTCAGTATTCCGGCAATAGTATTCTGAAAAAGGAAGTTTTTATGTATTTACTGGCAAAATTCGTTAGTTTTCAAAGGGTTTTCATTAGCTATAACTAATCTTGGGAGCAGAGAAACAGAGCCACTAGCGTTTTTATACACTTTATTCAACCTTTAAGAAAGATATACCTTTTACAACAAAACGCTCTCATTGTAAAGGTAACTAAATTCCCTTTCATACAACCAATTAATAGAATACTTGTATCAGATAATATTTATCAAGAAATGAATAACAAAAAAATTCTAGTGGCCCCGTTTCTTTGTTTTCAAAATGTATCCATAACGTGGAAAAGAGCCATTTTTAGTAAAAAAAAAATTAGGTATTTCTGGAAGTCTAATCTGGGGGCTTACTCTTGATTCCAATTCCGATCGATCGACATTAATATTGTGAAATTTCGTACTCTTGAGTTGCAACACTAGCGCTCATTGCATCCGTATTGTGTGGATATTGAATGAACTAAACGGTATTGAGTTTGTCTTTATATTCCGTACTCTGAATGCTATTGTAACAGCTACGATTGTGGTTGTATAGTGTTGACATTGGATAATTATTGAGATTTTGTTGGATTGAAATTGCATTGACATTGAGATTGGTTTTAAAAGCACCGAAGTTATGAAGGCTTAGGTTCAGCAATGGGTGTATTTTGACTAATATGCTGACAAGAAACGAATTTTATCAACATCGGTCCATCGTTTATCGCTGAAATACTGAAACGCTACTGAATTTTAAGTCGCGTCTAATTAACTCGTCGAGTACCGGTTTTGTAGACACAATTATAGAACAATAGGTTGCGGTCACCGGTGACCGCTTGGTGTTTGACAGTTTAAGCATTGTTGTCTCTATAAATTCTTTGTAAAATGACAGAGACGGCAAAGTCAAAGTCAAAGCATTTATTTCAATTAACTCTCGTCGAGTACCGTCATTATAGACACAATTATAGAACAATAGGTTGCGGTCACCGGTGTCCTCGCGGTGTTTGACAGTTTAAACCATAGTTTGGTACTTTTGAAACGTCAACAAATACAAAATAAATAATATTCTGTCAGTCAGTCTGTCAGTGAAATTAGGTGAAGCTAGGTGCTCATTCCAAAATGTAGATTCGAATGGAGAAGAACGAGCAAGAAACTCCATTCGTTAATCTTTTTTTAAAAAGTATACTATACTTAATCCTTTGAGTACCGTCATTAGACAATTAAAGAACAATAGGTTGCGGTCACCGGTGTCCTCGCGGAGTTTGACAGTTTTAAGTAAAACCTAAAATTAAGTAGCCTTTCAGTATTCGGGCGCACAATGATTTATAAAAACAAAACAAAATTAGCAAAAACTGACCAGTTTTTGATCTTCTATATTAGAGTAGTTGCCTAAATTTTATTTTAATGTCCATCTGGTACATTAATTTAAAACATTAGACACGTATTTTTTCTTTTCTCAAAAATTAAAAAAATTTCGACGAAATATTTATCTGAAATATCGTGTGACGTCACAGCGTGCCACATTTTATAGCACGTTATGACGTAACGACGTCCCACTCCTAAACTTAACTCCATTTTGTCTAACTATTGTAACTGTATACGAGAAAATAAAAAAAATACGTGTCTAATATTTTTTCATTATCTAACTGACGTATTCATTACATTTTTAATTTTCATTCCCTGGAAACTACACAATTATCAACAACAAACAAAATTGTGTGTCCGTCTAATAGATTACTTTTAAACACATATCATATTGTCGTTAAACAACTAGCGCCACCTACTTACAAAACTTATACTAAAACTGTGAAAACATTCAAAAATGTTCGTCCAAAGACCGAATGAAACTCGCCCATATAATTCGGATTGAACCTAGTTCCATTCACTTTCAATTCTTGTTACGTTTGAAAATGAATGAAT